CTTCTGCTTGGCCCACTGTGGTTTCTGTCCCCTGTTTCTGATCTGTGTTTTCATAGTTCCCATCAGCTGCTGCGGCAGAGGCAAACTATCTAACCAAATATCAAAATGCATTTCTTCTAAGCACTAGCCCATCAGCTGCTGAGGCAGAGGCAAACTATCTAACCAAATATCAAAATGCATTTCTTCTAAGCATCTGGAAGAGGAACCTGGAACTTTATTTTTTGAAAAATTCTAACATACATAAAAATGGGCAGAATGCTACAATTAATATACATATGTATGTATGTACATATATGTATAAGTACACATACATATTTGTGTATATTTATACATGTATGTATATATGTCCCATGTCCATTTTCAACTCAAAGCCTATCTTGCACTCTTTTTTCTTTCTTTCTTTCTTTCTTTCTTTCTTTCTTTCTTTCTTTCTTTCGTTCTATACAATTTGAAGCACATCCAGCCATCATATCCTTTTATTGATATGTGTTTTAGTATGATTCTCCTAATATTAAGGACCCCTTTTTAAATTAAAGAAAACAAGGTCATGAATTTGAGAAAGTACAAGGGAGAGAGACATGGAAGGGATTTGGTGAAGGGAAGGGAAGAGAAGGGGGCATGGTATAATTACATTTTAATTTCAAAACATAAAATACCCAATACATTATATCATACATTTAAATTCATATTAAATTTTAAATGTTATATTAAAATAATTCTAACCATCAAATAGGCAGTATCCAAATTTCTAATTATTTCTGAATCCTTTTTAATTTTATGTATTACACAATTCAGCCTCCATCTTAGAGCCAGTCCCAAATGTTCTTGAGTAATTAAAGGGTCCATTCTTAACTGAGCCTATGACAGGCTTCCCAAAGAGCAATGTAATAGGCTCTCCAGCCTACAACCCAGCCTCATTTACAGCAAAACAACCTCCCTTTTATTGGCCCTTTAGTTGTGTGCACACTAAACAGTAAATGGCAGTGTTTACAAATAGCATCTTAGTTTTCCCTTTGAACAGAGTACAAAATGCCCATAATGTAAGTAGCTTTGAAAACACAGGGAGCTTTTATGTTTGTTTTTCTGACAACACAGCATACAATCACAGTAAATGTTTTCAGGGCTGGAATTTTTTTTTTTTTTTTGAGTGCTGGTATTTAAAGCCCAGAAGGGTAGTATTAGACATGCTTTGTTGCTGATTTTTTTTTTATTTATATGTAGACATGGACCAATATGACCAATGTTCATTCCTTCCACCACAGGAAGCACAGAGTAGAACAAGCCTTTGGTGAGCCTGGCATCTTCTTTTATGATATGAAAACTATAGGTATAACCTGGGCTCGAGCTTTGTAGCACAGAGGGACACATAATGTGTTTGGGACTTCAGAGAGAACACTTGTTCCCAACAGTTTGTACTATAGTAATATAGTTTTCATGGAATTACCATATGAGTTAGGATGTAAAACTCCCCTCTAAGTTAAAAAACTGAGAAGTCTGTAGAAGAAGCAGTATGAACAAAAACATGAGGACTTACACCTTCTGGGAACCCTTGGGAGCAACTTAGGAATTTAAGTAGCCGGGAGGTGAATCTAGGCTGGTGTCAAACAAGGAGACATAGACTGCATCCCTGAGAGCAAAGGCCTTTGATGTGAAATTGAGGGTGGCCTTGCCAGCAAGCAGCGGCAGGTCAGGAGGCTTTGAGTAGGGATGTGACATGACCTAGCCTAGCAAGGGGGTCACTGAACCGATCCGAAAGGGAAGTTGGAATGGAATGATTAGAGAAGGGCAATGTTTTGATAACACCAGCTGCAGGACTGGGCAGCTAATGAAAGGAAAGGGGTCCTTGGAGTCTAAAATTTACATTGCAGTGATTTCAAATAAAAGAGGGAAGCCAGGGGAAAGAATTGGTTTGGGACAAAACAAGAGTTTAGAGTTACAGTGTGGACTGTTTAGAAGCTTCAAAATCCCCAGAGGCCACTGGGAGTATACAGGCTATAGTTTAGGAATGAGAACAAGCCAAAGGTAACAATTCAGGAACTTCCTATAGGAAGGTGGTAGCTAAACCTGACCTCTGAGTTGCACACACATAATCTAGTGCTGTTCTCTGAGGGGCTGACATAGCCAGGTCATCTTTGTCATGTGTCCCACTGCTCTGCTGCTCCAACCCCTTTCAAGTATCATGGTCTGTTACCAAGACTGTTGATGCACTCCCCAGTGTGTGTTCTGGTTATATTCCTGACTTTAAATGGTTCTGGAGCGAGAAGGAAGCATCGCCCTTTAAAGCCTTGCCACATCTGACCTGATTCGAGTTTCCTGTAGCTCTGACAATGAGTCCTGTGTCCTTTCTCTTGGTGAGGGGGTAAAGCATGTCTCAGCTAGATGGAAAGGCACCTGTGTTTTTATGATAGCTTGTGTTTCTAATAGTAACTGTACAGATACAGAACCCACCAGCCACAGTGACATGAGACAGACTTTCCGGAAACAAGTATGCACCTGTGTGATGAACTCGAGTGGGGTTGTAGGCATTGCTCACTCTTAAAGCCTGTGAGTGTTATGTGTCTGGCAGATAAGTCAGTTCCTTTAATGAAGTGGCAGGGAGAATATGAATACAAATGTTTGGTCTATAATTAATGCAAATCCCAAAAAAAAACATGATTAAAAGCCCACAGCTTTTAAAGAAATCAGGACTGCCCCCCCCAAAACCATACCCATGAGCAGGCTGGAATGCATCTGTATTTTGTTGGATTTTTAATGAATTTTTTTGTTTTCAGAATTGGAACTCCATAGATGTTTGCTTCTAGTGACTGGTATGTGTGTTTTCTCAAACTAGTACAAGGAATGGCTTGCAATGAAATTATCGTAATGAATCTAGATAGCAATTAATTGAGTGGTTACTTTAGATGAGGAATTTTCCTAAGCTCTTCATCAGGATTACCATATTTAATTTTCACAAGCACCATATGTAATAGGCAATATTGTTCGAACAATTTTATGGATAAGGATACCCACCTAGGGTCACAGGGCTTATGCTCTTAAACCCCAACTCTTTATCCACCAATGTCTCTAAGAAAGGAAGCCCTAGTTTTGATAAATATGAGCAGAAAATTCTTCTTCTCATGGCAATGATGAAGTGGTTCTTGGGCTATCCCAAGACATCATTTCTATATGGGAGAGAAGTAGGGCTGAGGCTCTTCCTCCTTGTTTCTGTGTGAAGGACAGATAGCTGCCATTTCTCTTCTGTATTTCTCTTCAGAGGCTGAGCCAATGGCACCGTGACACAAAGCAGTCTTGTTTTCCATGGTGTCCATTGCTTTTGTGGAAGGGCAAGACTGAAGTGACATGCCTCTGTGGAGAACTGACTGATGGTGCTGCTGCTTGAGCCCTAGGCCAGTGATCAGCATCAGCACCCATCTCTCCAACCTCTCCTCCCATGCTGACGTCACTCCTACTTCAGTTAGTTGCAGGGAGCTGGTTTTGCATGACTATCAGATCATGCACAGATCTCTGGAAATATAATTTCTATGTCCCAGGCCTCTCAAATAATATGATTCTACTCTCAATTATTATGTCTCCACTCTAAAAATATAACTTTAGCATATCAAAAGATGAAGAATATTCATAAGGCTCTGATTCATTCCTAATGCTATTTAAAAATCAGTTGAAGGGCAAATTCTGTGGAATGACTGAAACTTGTTTACAGCCTGTTATATGTTCATCATTAATGGCAAAGATGAGTAGGACCCAGGGACCAGCATATTTCAAAGATTAAAAGACTATGCATGTCCTACTTCATGAAGCCTTTCTCACCTAACCTTCCTGAAGTTGAATCCACAAGTATTCTCCCTCCCATCCAACCCTCTCTCAAATAGCATGAGTATCTGCTCTAAGAACACTTAGGCTCAAGGAAAATGAGAAGCATGAACACTTCTGGGATTTTGATCCTACATTGGCCAATGACCAATTCTGATTAAGAGTGTGAATGACAGAGTCTTCCTCATGGATCTGTCACTGATGTGCTGCCTCTGACTGAACAGGTTTTCAGTTTTGAGCAGCTTTTTGTGGAAAATGGCAGGTAATACAACCGTCTGTGGTCTGGACAACTCACACACACTGGTAGAAAAGAAGAATAGTCACACAAGAAAAGATCTCATTTTCAGGCATAACTCCTCAACAGGCACTTCCTGTCTAAGGCTGGTCCAGGTGTTCCCTGCACTCTAAAAAACGTTCTGAGGGATGATCACCTAGACCTTGTGTCTGGTCCCTTTCCCTTCGAAGCTCTGCTTTCTCTTTTGTCTGGCTGCATTGAACCATTTTTGATTCCTTCGCCTCCCCCCTGTCTACCAAGTGGATAATTAACCATTAAGTCCTGTTATTCATTGAGATCACATATATTAAAAAGACCTGCTATAGGGGGAACAATTGGCAGCATTGAGAGATAGGTTTTGAAAAACAGTCATCACTAAACTCAAGCTCCAGTTGTAGAGAATGGAATCCAGGCAAAAGCTGAATTCCTGCTGGGGTGTTTGCACGCATGAGACTGGATTTCTCGGTTCCTGTGTTGAGTAAGAGTGTGAATGCCAGCGTCCACCTCATGGATCTGTCACTGTTTGGCCTGTGACCAAACAGGTTCCTTTACCTTCTGTCTCTATGGTTTTCATCTGTGTAACAGAGACAGTGGTAATACCAGCTCATAGGCTTGGTGTGATGGTTGAATCCAAGGGAGGTACTTGGCACTTGGTATGTGGAAAGTATTCAATAAATGCTCTAAGTGAATCAGTTGTGGAAGGAAGAGCTGCTTCCTTTAGATTTGCATAAAAATTTTATTTTCCTACCGCCATAGCATTACTTCCTGTTAGTAGCCTAATAATAACTAAGAGGGTTTTGTTTGATGTTTTCCCTCTCAGTGGACAAGCGCAGGTGTGCCGTGTCTGCTGACCCCAAGCTCTAGGATTCACATGCTCTTTGAGTTGACTGACCTTCTGGGTCTTTTCCTTCCTCAGGTGCTGGAAAGCTTCAAGATCATGGACTACAGCCTTTTGCTAGGCATCCACATCTTAGACCATTCCCAAAAAGATAAAGAAGAGGAACCCTTACAAAATGTTCCCGATGCAAAGCGGCCTGGGATGCAGAAAGTCCTCTACTCCACAGCCATGGAATCCATCCAGGGTCCAGGCAAGTCTGCAGATGGCATCATTGCAGAGAATCCAGACACGTAAGTGTACCTATCCTGGTTTTGGGTACCCCAGTCACCGGGTATTCGCATGCAATCACCTCCCCCAAAAGATGGCACTCTCGGAATAGATCCCTGGTTGGCAGTCAATGGCTTAAACCATTATTTCTCTTTATCTCTAGACAACTAGATGAGTGGCAATTTCTCAAGTTTCTTTCACCCACATGGTTTCTGGTTTTAGTTCCTTTTTATTTTATTTTATTTTTTTTAACAATGACTGAAAACATTTTCCCTTCATTTACTACTCATTCAAAACATCTACCAGAAGAGAGAAGAATGAACCCTGGGCTTGAATAAATATGAATAGATGCTTATTCATGTTCATTTATTTACTTAAGAAAACACATGGTAGGAATGATACTTCAGAGCTTTTAATCTGCGTAAGGGGATTCTGTTGGTCTTACCTCTGCACCCTGGCAGATGTCTCTCTCCTCAGCCAGATGTGTTGGTAACTGTGGGCTTCATTTGCATATGTAAAGTGCACATTTGACAATAGAAACCATTACAACCACGGAAGGTTGTTGAAATGGTTGACTCATCACTTGTGAACTTGCTGAGCAAGGAGACAGAGGAAATCACTTCCCAAGGCCTTCGTCACCCACCTTCTAGGATTCTCCGGCAATGACTAAGCCAGGTGCACATTTGTCTCTTGTAAAGGAAACTAACACGTGGTCAGCCTCTGTTCAAATACTTGCTTGCAATTCTGTCTAAATAGAAAATAATCCACTGAACAAATTATTCTATGTCCTTATTGTAAAATGCCACAGAGCTATTACTCACATGGGCATTGCTATGAGGAAAGATTCCTCATTAACAAATGTAATGCTTAGGTTACAAAACTGCTCAATCCAATAATCTCTTCAGATTAATACACACACACACACACACACACACACACACACACACACCCTGCAAAAACATCTCAGGAGTTAATTTCATAAATTTCTTCTATGTGCTTTTCTATGTTTTTTGGGGGGGTGATTAATTGGTTAGGTTTTTTTGAGATAGGATCTGTCTATTATGGGCTCTGGCTCTCTTGGAACTCACTCTGTAGATCAGGCTGGCCTCAAACATACAGAGATCCACTTGCCTCTGTCTTCTGAATACTGGGATTAAAGGTGTGCTCTACCACAACAGGCCTCTGCTGGAGTCCAGCTCCAGATGGAGGGAAGGGTCTCAAGATGGGTGTATGCAACAGAGGTGACAGGAGGAATCAGACATGGGACACTTCTTAGTTTCATTTTAGGAGAGAAGGACAGAGAAGCAGCGCATCCCCTGTAGACATATAGGTCCCAGCTGGGGATGTAAGGAGTAGGTGAGGGAGGGAAATGAGCCAGACCATGGTGGTCGGGAAAATCTTGCTACCTGACTGACTAGCAGTAAATGGGGGATACATTCATGTTGTTCCAAAACATAGATCATATCAATTTTGGTTTTGGACATGTGTTTAACATTTTGTCTTGTTCATCTTTTAGTCATCATTAATAAACTATGACAGAACAGAGTTACCATTTCCAATCATTTTCCCTTAAGTTTTGACATCATTGTTTTCTTTCATAACCATCTTTACTCATCAACCCCATAACCCAATTTTTAAGAATCTAGAGGCATATGACTGCTTGTTTTCAGGCTGGTAGCTTTTGTGGGTACAAGGACAGTAGACCAAAACAATCTTCAAGCCATTCTGGGCATACTGCCATGTCCCAAGCAGTGTATTATTAACTCTTAATGGTCAGAGTGCCCAAGATATATCCTCAGGCCAAAGCTGCTGCAGTTATTATTCAAATTCTGGCATAACACAATGTTTACCTTTTATATATTTACAGAATATTTTTATCATCTTTCTACATCATTCTTTGTTCATCAGTATAAGTCTCTGTGTAGGACAGAGGTAACTTCAGCTTATCTAATTTTGTTGTTATATATGCCACATAGTCATCCGAGTGTAGAGTGAGAAGAAGCTTGGATTCTGAACTGTGGCCAGCTCCTCTAGCCCACCGAATCATGTTGACTTTTTAGAGTCACTTTGTTTTGGATATCTTGTTCCTGTGTAAGTACAGGGGCAGATGTTTCAAGAGTGTCTCATAGCCTCATAAAGAAGCCAGAGGTTTCTTTATGAGTATCACAACCTGCAAGGCATAAGGAAGACCTGGAAGAGGGGTAGTGTGTTCAGGACTTTCCTGGAGAGGCTTAGAAGCAGTACTCCTGGGAGAAGGCACAAATGGTTCATAAGAAATTTTCCATCAACCCAACATTCCTAAATTGTACAAATATTAAAAGTCTCCCAAGTATGCAGCAGGTAAAGATGAAAACCAAAGGTGACACGGGAGCCATCATGTGGCTCAGCTTTGCTGGATTTTGCCTAACAGCTGTGCTGGCCTTATGACTTTTGCCGTTCCCATCAGATATGGCTGTGCCAGGCCTCTGTATTTTTCAACCTCACAGTAAACATATAATTCTTTAGATCAGGAAAAATAATATTACTTTAGAGCAAGCTGACCTTGAACTTTCTATGTAGCCAAGAATGGCTTTGAACTCCTAATTCTCCTGCCTCTACCTCTTGTACCTGCCCCTATGCTTGTGGTTTTATGCAGCACTGGGGATCAAACCCAAGGCTTCGGGCATGCATGACAGGCACTGTTCCATGCTAGTCTTGCCTTTTTAAAAAAGCAATATTTTATACTGCTCTAAAAAATCCTTCTTTGCTCATATTTTTTAAATAGAAGTGGTTTTGTAATTAGATTCTTCCCATCCAACTCCTCAGATTTGACAGCTATGAAGTTATTATCTTTAAACTGATGAAAACTTATGGCAATAAAGGAAGCAGTAGTCTAGAATCCTTAATGTTTCAGGGTATAATTAGTAATGAATTGTAGCTTTCTGTACTCATGTTATAAAATATTTTCCCCTTTGCTCTATCCACAGGATGGGAGGCATTCCAGCTAAAAGCCATAAGGGAGAGAAACTGCTTTTATTCATGGGCATTATTGATATCCTCCAATCATATAGGTAAGAAATTTGGGAAAGTGGTCTTTCATTATTTTAAAAGTAATCAAACCTCTTTTTTTCTGGAAATTCACCAAAGAGAGCCATTTTGCTTTCTCAATGTTATTTTCTCCATCTGTTTACTTTTTAGATTAATGAAGAAGTTAGAACATTCCTGGAAAGCCCTTGTTTATGACGGGGTGAGTGACCTGTGCTTTATTAAACTGTAGACACTTCTAGTCTAGCTGTGGCTGTCACTAGACTCAGGGGAGAGCAAAGGTCTTTGCATGCTCAAGTCTTAGGCTGGAAGAGTGGTTCCAGTCTGAGAACAAGACCACATAAATTTGAATAGCTGTTCAAATAAATGACTTTCATCCCAACAGCCAGGTTCACAGGCCTAGAAAATAAAACTGTGGTTGTTTCTATGTGGGGTGCAAAAGTCCCCTTTGGGAGGTGGATGAGCAAGGTGGAGGAGCTTTTTCAAAGGCCATGAGAAGATTGAAGCCCTTTAAATGAAGTTTCTAGAACATTGGGCTAAAGAGGGTTTTGAGCCCTTACTGTGATTGCGAATAACCCTGGATTTGAACCAGCTTCCTACTTGACTGTCCACATGAGAAAGCAAGTCAGTTTTCTCATGAGTCAGGGTCCAGAGCCTGCCTTCTGTGAGTATGACAGGGGATAGTTCATGTTAGTGTGCAGCACAGTGTCTAACACACGATAATAACATAGGAAGTGAAAATGTTGACATGGAATGTATTTACAAATGCTGCCAACTTTCTTAAACGTTTATTTTATTAGTTTTAATTATGTGTGTATATGCATGCATGTGTGTATGTGTATGTCACCTGAGTGCCCGTGCCATGGAGTTCAGAAGCATCAGATCTCCCAGAGCTGGAGTTATAGCACCTACCTGACACGGATGCTGGGAACCCATCTTGGGTCCTCTGCAAGAGCAGTATGTGCTCTTAATCTCACATGCTGAGTGACAGGAAATCATCAGGTGAAGAAAACATCAACTATGGAGGGCAAACTCCCTCCTTACTTCTCCTCACACACATACACACTCATTGATGTTAGAGTCTAGATTTGATGCCTCCACTCTGGCAGAACCGACCCTCTCATGGTTAATGACTGACGGTGACATGTCCACAGAGTCCATTGGTCAAAGACTTGATTGCTCATTCCCCTTTAAGACATGACTGGACACCTTCTTTTAGAAGAGAATAAATTATGGAATCTGTTCTCCTCCTTTCTGGAAAGGAATATGCATTTTTCAATTCTGTGGCAGATTGTTAATAACCTTCCAGCATGAAAGAAGTACATTTAGTTCACAGGCTGACAGCTGGCTTCCATCAAGATGCACCATTAAATTATAGGCTCACAAGGCTGTTTCTAAGAATCTGCCACAGGCTTAGTCAGATCAGGAGTTCCTCTTATGAAAAAGTCAAGGTAGGTTGATTTTAGGTGTCCCAGCTGAGGAGGACAGGAATCTCATGGTGCCTTGAATGCAGAAAGTAGATGCCGAATATCCCAAGGTCATTCAGTGTTTTCAGCGACACTTATTCCATTACCAAGTCAGGGGCCTAGTCTTGTGTTGACAAAGGGTCTCTTCCTTTGTCTGTCGAAAACATGTCTTCTAATCTTTAGTCATAAGAAAGATCTCTGTACTTGTTATACATCTGTGAAACCATAAGTGATAACCAAGACTTACTTTTGTTTGTTTACAAATGTGTTTCTTATTTAGACAGGTTTTTTATTTTTAGATAAAAGATAACAATTATGGAAGGAAACCTTTAAGGGGAAGGGCTGGATGTCAGTCAGCCATGGATTCCCCTTGCTTCTTACCAGTGTTTCTAAGTCGTACTATCTGTTGTGAGAAACTGTCCACAGAGACAGAAGCCATTAGTACCATTGGAAAAGTACATGTCACACCAGAAACAAATGTCAGCCACATCTCCAGCTCCCCAAGGGAACTTAGTGTTTCTAATGTGACTGAAGAGTGGTGCCCTTTTAACTGCCATTTGAGGAACTGCAGATTTGTGGATCAGTGTGTTCATAGATAAAGGAACCAAGGCCCCAAGACTCTGGCTGCTCCCAGAATCATACAGCCTGTTAAAATTAGACCTCACAACCAGGTGCAGGTCACCTGACTTCTGGCTCACCGCTCTTTGAACCCCACTGCACACCATTCGTGGTGTCTACACTTGAACTTTTAGAAATTTCCCTGTTGAGATCCAGAAACCTACATTCAAAATAGAGCATCTACCAGATGAACATAGACAATCAGCCTCTCTGCATCCAGGCCATTTTCTGGATTATAAGAAAATGACCTGCACTCCTAAGGATTCCTGCAAAACATGAGAGGAGCCTATCGCTTCAATTCAATCCAGTCCTGTGTGATCAGTGACTAGCTCAGTCTCACCTTGTTACCTAGTGATGAACCCCCCTAATTTAAATGTCACTCTTATGCCTGGGATCTCTGTCTGTTTCTGATCTTTACCATGTAACTGAGAACTGTGTTCTTCTTAACTGCCCCTTGCAGATGTTCCTAGCTATAAATGCAGATACCTCATATTCACTGCAAGTGCCCCCTTCATTCCAGATTGTGCCTGGATTGCTAGTGGTCTGTTAGAAAGAAAAACATTCAAGTCCCCCCAAGCTCTGGTGGTGTTGTGACAAGATGGACAAATTTTGTTTATGGAGCAGAGTCATTTGGCTGTCTCCCCTGTCCCTTTATGCTCCATTTTGTCCTAAGCACATAGATTCTCTGTGATGACTGTCTTGCTGGCTGCCCCAGCCCTTGCCTTCTGGTCCTTCTAATTGTTGGCCATGTTTTATTTCCAACTCTAAGAGGCAAACCTGTCGTCTTTCTTTTTTTCAGGACACTGTTTCAGTTCATAGACCGAGTTTTTATGCAGATAGATTTTTAAAGTTTATGAATTCCAGAGTTTTCAAGAAAATTCAAGGTAAGAGCCTCAGGAAAGCTTCTGGGTTGTAGCACTTGTTACTGACGTCACCATATATGTGTGGGAAGCTTTTGTTGGAAGAGTTGGATGTTTTTACCGAAGTGGTAATAATGACTAATTGCAGTTAAATATCATAATTTAATGATGTCATAATCATTAACCCATTTTATGTTAAAAAGAAAAAGTACAGGCTGGAGTGTGGGAGATGCTCAGTCAGTAAAGTAATGTGAAAACCTGAGCACCCTAGTTCACACCCTTAGCACCCATGGAAAAAGCAGAACACGGAGCCAGGGGTGGTGGTGCATGTCTTTAATCCCAGCACTCAGGAGGCAGAAGCAAGAGGATCTCTGAGTTCCAGGCCACCCTAGTCTACAGAGTGAGTTCCAGGACAGCCAGGGCTACACAGAGAATCCCTGTCTCAAAGAAAAAAAAGCAGAATACAATATAATCTCTGCACTAGAGAGGCATAAACAGGTAAATTGCTCCATGTTCAATGGGAGAACCTTTCTCGAAATAAATAAATAAGCAAATTAGGTGGAGAATGGTTGAGGAAGAAACTCAGCATCAACCTTTTGGCCTCCACATGTGCACACACACACACACACACACACACACACACACACACACAATGTACAGTTAGTTGTTGAAATAATGGATTTATTTGTATGTAGCCATTGGCACCCATAGTTTAAAGAAGAAACCAAAAAGAAAATAGAAAAAAAAAAAAAACTTAGTGACAAATGGAAGCATACACACCATCCAGCAACAGTGACAAATACCTAAATAATCCCAGCACTTGAGAAGCTAAGACAGGAGAACTCAGAATCCCCAGGCCAGTTTGGGGAATGCAGTGAGATGCTCTGTCAAAAAGAAAAAAAGGAAACGCATATGTCCCACAAGTGGTGGGAAACTCCAAGGGCAGGGCTCAAGGTCAAATCTATAGATGAAAAATTCCTGGGTCAAAACTTGAAGAAAGCCCCTGTAGGTTTAGCTCCAGCATGCACAGCGTCCCCAGGCTGATCCCAGCTCTGCAAAAAAACACAAGGGAGAAAGTTCTCACATCAGTATCCTGCCTTCAAACCATGAGTACTTAAATGAATAGAACAAACTAAGCCCAAAGCTAATAATGATTATTTTGAATCAAGGTAAAAATATAGCATCTTATTTGTCTTTGTACTCACGGGAAATTTACTAAGTGCATACTGTTGGTGTTCAAACTGTGTGGAAGGTAGAGAATAAGCATATGATATGCATATTGTTATC